CTGGACTCAGTTTCCGCAAACTGGGGATCCAGAAAATCCATGGGATTGGAGGGTCTCCCTCTGGCTAGGCTAAGATGCCCCACAAGATGTCTTGTACTTGACTTCCATTTTGGCCTTAAGTTGCCTTACACACAGTTTCAGAACAGGAACGTTCCAGAAGACTGGAAGCAAGCTAATGGTATGCTAATATTTAAAAGGGGTAGGAACAAGATGACCTAGGTAATTATAGGCCTGTCAGTATGAAGCAGCTGAGATGGGACTCAATAAAGAACTATAGCAGGATAATAAAATTAATGCCAGTCAAAATAGTCTTATGGAAAATAAATCCAGTGAAACTTTAAATTTCTTTAGTTGAGATAAAAAGTTTGGTTGATAGTTAATGGTGTGATGTAATAGACTCATGTAAGACATTTGCATTACTCTGTGATTAAAAAGCTAGAAAGATATAAAATTAATAAGGTATACATTAATTGGATTAAAAGATGGCTAACTGCTAGGTCTGAAAAAGGAACTATAAAAAGGGGAAACGTCAACTGTGTACTTACTGTGGGGCCTGATAGGATTGGTTGTTAGTTTTACCCTATTTAACTTTTTTTAAATCAAATGATATGAAAGAAAACAAGGAGTGCTAAAGTTTGCACATGACAAAATTAGAGGAGCAATAAATAATGAAGGTAAGTCACTAATACAGAGCAATCTGGATTGCTGGATAAACTGGAATCAATATGGCTAAGCATAGATATCTAAGAGCAAAGAATGTAGACCCTACTCAGAGCATGGTAGACTCTCTTGGGAAGCAAGACTGAAAACTGGGAATTGTGATACATAATGAGCTGAACATGATTTTCCTGTGCATACTTAGGTAAAAAATGCTCATCCTTGGATGCACAACCAGTGGAATCTCAAGTAGTAGAGAAGATATTTTACTTCTCCATTTGTCACTTGTGTGACCACTATTGGAATACTGTGTCCTGGTGTCCACAATTTGGGCTGAGCGAAGACTTCTAAAAGAGAGTAGAGAATTAGAAATATTTTATAGTATAATCAAGGAGCTCACAGAACAGTATGTAAATACTTTTAGCAGAACAAATTTGATTATGGATTCCTGACTCTAGCATCACTGGCGACTTTTAAATCAAGATTGGATTTTTTTCCCCTGGATAGTAGGCTCTAGTCTGGAGAGATTTAACAGCATATTTCATACAGCAGGTCAGACAGTGGTCCTAGCTAGTTTTGGAATATATTTCTGCAGGGGGACATTCTGTCAGACTGACACATCATCTTCCAGGAAGGGTATGAGGGATTCCTTCTCCAGAAGCAGGAGAAAGGATGTGTGATGAGGAAAACAAAAGGATAATTTCCTCTTGCTCCTTAGGCCTAAGAGCCCAAATCCGCTCTTTTTCAAGCGAGCACAACTGCAACCCCTTGCAACTGTACAGGCAGTCCCTGAGTTACGCGGATCCGACTTATGTCGGATCCGTAGTTACGAACGGGGATTTCTCGCCCTGGAGAACTAGAGCAGCGGGACGCCTGGTCCCGCCGCCCGCCTTCTCCGGGGCGAGAAAAGCTGCTCCCCGTCTCCCTGGTCTGCTGGCGGGATGTCAGCCGACGGTCAGGGCAGTGTGTGTGTGTATGTTTCCGAGAAAAGGTTTAACGTCCGTGCCTTTACTGCTAGGACCGGGGTCCCATCGCAGAGGGTGGCCAGCAGGCCAACAGACGCCCCGTTATATAGGAAGAGCTTATTACACCTTAGATTTTAGCTGCTAGAACACAGGGGTCAGTGTGTGTGTGTAGGTTTCCGAGAAAAGGTTTAACGTCCGTGCCTTTACTGCTAGGACCGGGGTCCCATCGCAGAGGGTGGCCAGCAGGCCAACAGACGCCCCGTTATATAGGAAGAGCTTATTACATCTTAGATTTCAGCTGCTAGAATTTCATAATTCCTTCGCAGCGGGCAGCCTTGAGGAAAGACTGAAAGATGCCCCAGTGGGTCCTGTCACCTGGGAGTGACACAGATCCAAACGCCCAAGCTCTTCCTATAACTGTCCCTTTAGACCGGCTGAAGTTCTTTTAAATTGTGCTTGGTTCTGTTACAGCAACTGAAGGAGTCAGGTTAAAGCTTAAACAGTTACAGGTTTACTGAGGAAGCTTATAAATCATATGGTTGCAATGGCTATTGCTCTATTTCTTAACTACTAGCAAAATATAGATCTTAAAAATGGTTACAAAGAAGATAAAGATAGAAAAATAGAAATAATGGTACCAAGTAACAGCTTACTCTTTCTATGTGTACACTTAAGACAGAGGACCACATCCAGGTACCATTTTTACCCCCTTCTGTGCCTCTCGACTCCAGCATGTCAGGCCAGGGCCGGTCCCTCAATTCCTAGGAAAGACGAAAATACGAGGTGGGCGTCCCCATAGAACCTCGGGAGGTCAAACACCTAACCCGACCAGCAGGTAGAGGGTAGAATGACACTCAAAGTGAGTGTGTGCTGGGCCCATCTTTTATAATCATGAGGTCACGTATTTCTCTTTCTTATCTGTCATGCCAATTGATGCTGGTCTGTCTGCTGTGAGACCAGTTCTTACAAGGGAGTTGTGAACTTAATTTACACTTGTAAGAGAGAATTGAGATGATTAAATTGGAAGTACAGGACATTGTTTTCTCAGTGGGAAATTCCTCTTCCTGGGACTGTGTGTTCGAATCAACATAGGTGCCAGCCGGTGGCAGTCTCACATATCCTGATCTCTCCTCATATCTATGTTTCAGCTTCTCAGGATCAGATGAGCCAGCATAGACTATGCTGATATTATTGCTCCTTCTCTGCCCTGTGCTTCAGAGAGGCAAATAAGATGGATGATATGGG